TTATTTGTTCCCACTACTTCTGTAAGAGTGAATGGGTCTTGTGTTGGTGCAATGACTAAGTTATTTTTGCTTGGAGTAAGTTCGATAGAAATTTTTCCTGCCCAGTTTGGCAAGTATCTTAAAAACCTGAAGATGAGGAAAGATGACAAAGGAACTCTAAGTTTCAGTTTTACTTTGGTTACTGCTGCTGCAGTTTGTCCAGAAAGGTTAACATAAACTCCTGGAACGTTAGGGTCAAGTCTTCTTATTTTCTCAATAGTTGCATACTGGTCTGTTTGTTCTCTAGCTTGTGGTTGTACTGAGTTTCTCAAAGCGAACCATTCATAGTTTGCCCATGTTACTGTTTGAACTAAGTCAGAGTTAGAATATATCTTATATCCCATGAAAACTTCTGGAGCATATTGGTATCCGACATAGAAAATTCCATTGCAACCTTTCTTGTCAGACAACTTGGCAGAAGGTTTTATTTCAATGTCTTGTTCCACGTATAAGAAAGTTGTCAATAGAAATTATATGAAACCTGTCGCAAGCAATATCTACTGTTGTTGAAGAACCTTCTCCAAACTCACCTACGTTTCCATAAGAAACAGCAGTTGTATATTCGTAAGTTCCAGGAACTATTTCTGACCTTCTAATGGCATTGTCGCATTCGTTATACCATTCGGAAACATTTCCATTCATGCATCCAAAACTGTTGGCGTTATATTCTGAGCGGCGTACATTTCATATGAGTAAAAATATAGAATAGTTGGATTTATATGTCATAATAGAACCCACGTGGACCAAGCTTTACTTTCTTCCTGACTGAGTTTTTAACTCTTCTTTTTCCTTCATTGCCCTCTGCTTGAAGTTGTTGCATCTTTGCATTATGTTCATCTAGTATGTTGCAAATTTCCCATGTCCTTTTTGCCTTTGGCTCTGGTCGCCCATCTCAGGTAACCTATATCCTAGAAAGAGTTTGTCATAGTTTGTATTTGAGTCTTCGCGTATTGTTTGCATGACTCTTTCCTGAGTTTCCGGTTCAAGCTCTTCAAACAGTGCCTGTCCATATGGAATATGCTCGTTTCCAAATATATGTTTTTGTAGCCATTCTGGTTTTCTTTCCATGTTACCAACTATATCTTTTGTGAATGGGAAAGCTTTTACCCAATCTTTCAGTCTTGCGTCGTTTATTTCTGTAGTTGGTTTTATTTTGTCAAGGAACATGTTTTTCAATACTAACATTTCATTTGGTACTGTCCATTTGAGTTTTCTTAAATATTCATCCCTTCTCGTTTCATTGTCTGCAAAGTAAGTTTTTATGACATTTTGTAAACTTTCGTTTGCAAGGTCATGTACAATAGGTTCTCTTCCTTCTCCTCCCTAACTTTCTTTCTAAACTCTTCACCAAATATACCATCTCTATGGTTCTGTGTAGTTCTTTGAGATAAATGTTCTAGAACGTCAGGTGTTATATTTCCATCAGCCATGTTCATTTCATACTGGTCCAAAATATCTGCATGTTTCATATCTTTCAATGGCATTAAAGCCGCGCTGAAAATACCAGCTATATCTGGTTCACCATTCACTTCCATTGCGTCTACAACTTCTTGGAATTGAGGTTGTAAGTTTATGAACCACCTATCCGGATTAGCTTTATGACCCCATCTCATTGTAGTTCCATCGTCTGCAGAAACAAAAGTAGGTTTGTTTCCATCTTGGTTAGGTTCTGAATGAACTTTAAACAATGTTTCATTTCTATATGTTTTTTGAAATTTAACCTTTTATTTTCACCGAGTTCATCCGAAGATTGAACGTTAAATGCTCGTAAGTAAAAAGGGTTGTTGTATTTGTGTACATTTTTTTCAGTACTTCCATTCTATGCTGAATATTTTCATCTGATGTTGGAGTCTTTTGTATGTCGGCAAACATTTTTCGATATTCTTCTACTATGTCAGCCGAATTTTTTTTAGACTCTTGGAAATATTCCATATTCTCCGCATACTCTTGTTGAGGGTCAAGATTTTTCGGCTGTTCCAAATCTTCATCTAGTTCTGTGAAGTTAGTTTCCAAAGGAGGACTTGTTCGTTTCCTTCAGGCTCTTCTAGCTGTTGTTGCTGAACTATTTCTTCCATGTCTGGTTGTATCTGAACTTCTTCCTGTGGAGTTTCTTGTACCTCATCTGCTGGCATTTCATATATTCCGAGACCGTTTTTAACAATTTCCCTATCTACGTCATCCGCATTCATAAGCTTTTGTTCTTTCGTTCCGTCTCTATTTTTTACGCGTTTCATGACGAAAGTTGAATTGTCATTTAGCTCTGACATCAAATATCTCGGAGTAAATTCATCCATGTCATTTGGATGATATGCTATTAAATCATATCCCTTAGCGAGCTTGTATTTTCCAGGTTTGAGATTATATCCGTTTTGGTGCTGAGCCATAAAGCTAAATAGGTTCGGGTCAGTATTTCCATCCTTGAACTTTCTAATAGCTTCTTTATATCTGTCACTAAAGTCAACAGTATCTGGGAAACCACACTCTTCTTTAAGCATTTTTAAGAATTCTTGGTTTCCTTGTTCTCTACTTCTTTTATGTCCTTGCTCTGTTTGTGGTTGTTGTTGTGCAGGGTTTTGAACTGTTGGTTGTGGTGCAGTGTTTTGAACTGTTGGTTGTTGTGTTGGTTGTTGTGTTGGTTTTGGTGCATGCCTGTGTCTGTGTCCATGTGACGATGTAAATGTTTTAGGTAGTCCTGGTGCAGGTGCTTCTCTTGGAGGGTTTGGTGGTATATAAGTTCCACTAGCTAGTATATAAGTTCCACCAGCTGGTATATAAGTTCCACCAGCTGGCACATATGTTCCATCTGCAGCATAATGTCCTACCTGACTTTTCGTTCTTAAGAAAGCATTTACTAGGTCTGTTTTGGTCTGTTGTAACTCTTTTTCTTGACTTTCCACAACAGTTGCTCTAACGGCGTCATAGGCACTTTGAACTGCCTGTCTCGTTGCTGCATCTGTTATTTTCGTCATATTTTGTGCTACTTCTCTTAACTCGTTGTCGAAACCTTCAGACTTCAGTTTCTTTCCAGATGAGAAGTCGTTCACTTGTTTCACCTTACTATGAAGAGCTTCGAAGGCGTTCTTAAAGTCAGCATTCATTAAAGCTTCATTTGAACTGTCTTCATCCGCTTGTATTTTTGTCCTTATTGACCCTATAGTTGGGCTGCTTTAGCGTTGGCTTGGGCATCTAACCAGTCATTGTTGCTTTTATATATTCTGCGCTTTTCATTGCCTTTTGCATGCTGCGTCGTTATTTTTACTTTCTTGTGCTAAGTTTTCATACTGTACGGTTTGGTTTTGCAACTGTAAAAGTTTTTCTGCCTTTACATTTGCTTCAACTTCTTTTTTATACTCATCGCTATCCATATATGTCTTCAGGGCTTTTTGTTTTATCTCTTCATCTTTCAGTATTTATATTGAGTAGTATGGTTTTTCAAATTTATACATCTTGTTCCATTTTTGCTACTTCTGCTGCTTTTTCTGACACTTTTTTCGCATATTCCTCTGTACTTAGTTCTTTCAGTTGTTCTTCTTTCTTCTTTTTCTCTACGTTTAACTCATTGAGTTTCTTTGTGTGTCTGTCATATTCTAGTTTCTTTTCGTTTTCACTTATTTGTTCTGTATGTCTATGTTTGACTTTTTGACATCTGTTATTTGATTTTTGAGTGAACTCAAATTCATTTGACTTTGAGGGTTATAGCTGTTCCGTCTGCAGCTCCACCATAGCCTGCCATTTTCGCTAAAAGTGCCGCTCTTAAACCTCCACTCTGTGCACCAAAACTCGGTTTAAAAGCATAGGATTGCTTGACATTTGTTGCAACATAGTGGGGTCATTCATCATTTGTTGTTGCAACTGTTGTTGTGGTGTTAGTTTTACTATTGGATGTTTCAATGCTCTCTTCCTCTTACGTATATTCTTACGTAGCTTACGTGGCATTTTAAGTGAAGTTAAAAAGCGGTTTTGACAGATGTTTATATGACACTTTTTGTTCAGCACAAAAAACTACTCGGTCAAAGTGTTGTCAGTTTTGTAAAATAACCGTCCTATCTCATTCTATAAGGGGAAAGGCTTCTCAAAGTATACTTCCTTGGAACGCCTAACTTTTCCTGTAGCGACGATAGACCTTACTTGTCCGGACAAAGTTACTATTTTGAGTGCTCTACAAAAAAGTCAACGGCGACGACTCTCAAAAACCGTTGTGTAAAAAGTTTTACCGTTGGACAAAAAAGTTTATATAGAAAACAAAAAACGTTTATAGTTCATTCAATATTTGAGATGGAACGGTTTGCCAACGGTAACTATTAAATAAAATAAAAAAATAGAGGGGGTCTCCGTTGGTAAAAACCGTTTATTTTAAACTTTTCTATGAGTAGTCCGAAAAAAACAGTTTATTTTTCATAATGGAAGGAAGAAAAAGTGTCGCAAACAATTCGTCGACTACCTCTGCAGTTAAAGTTCCTACAACTTATGTCTCACCATTCTCAAAACCCTTACAACCTCCTATAATACCAAAGCAACTTCCTCATACAATTGCAAACAATTCGTCGACTACCTCTGCAGTTAAAGTTCCTACAACTTATGTCTCACCATTCTCAAAACCCTTACAACCTCCTATAATACCAAAGCAACTTCCTCATACAATTGCAAACAAATTGTCGACTACCTCTGCAGTTAAAGTTCCTACAACTTATGTCTCACCATTCTCAAAACCCTTACGACCTCCTATAATACCAAAGCAACTTCCTCATACAATTGCAAACAAATTGTCCAACAATTTGAGTTCTTCTTCTCAAAACACAACAGATACAGTTGTCCAAACAGCACCAGAACAAGTTTCACATAGTTCTACAATTGCAAACAAATTGTCCAACAATTTGAGTTCTTCTTCTCAAAACACAACAGATACAGTTGTCCAAACAGCACCAGAACAAGTTTCACATAGTTCTACAATTCAAGACAAATTGTCCAACAATTTGAGTTCTTCTTCTTCTCAAAACACAACAGAAACATCTGAAACAGATTTACAACCAGCACCAGAACAAGTTTCACATAGTTCTACAAGTATGTTAACAAGAGCACAATTTCAAGATTTAATTTCTCTTGAACAATATTCGAGTAACGAAACACAAAGCGACGACTGTAACCTCTCGCTACCCGAATCCATTCAAAGAAAATACGCCATGAAAAGACTGAAATTGTTGTATAAACTTCTTAACAATTGGGGAGTCGAAGACAACTCAGATTATAGTGAAATGTTTAACAAAGTCATAGAATCTGTTAAACCAATTGAAAACGACATAAAAAATCCCGGTGTTCTTGTAGACCTTTTCGCCTCAAAATTACCAGTTACAACCAATCTAATAGCAACACAAGCTATAGAGCAATTTATTTTATGTTTTCCCAAGCAATATAGACAACACCTGAGGGAAACAAGAATAGGAAAATTTCAATTGGTGTATCCTACAACATACAACTATTACGAAGAAGCAAATGAATATGGAGAACTCTCATTCCATTTCACACTTTCAGTTCCTGAGGAGAAGAAAAAGCAATCTATCATGTACAATCTCTTGCAGGATGTGAAGGAAAACCTCACATCATAACTACTGTTGCAATTGACAAACCTGCAAGAGTCGAAGACGATGTTTTGTTCGCGTCCATTGCTGGTTTTGGCATGGGAGAACCAATTCCAATTTCCCATTTCACAGAATACTCAGCACAACATTTTCAAAATGTAGAATTCGTGTTCTACGACCATCAAAAGTTCCTGCTAACAAAACCAAAGAAACAATTTGTCTCAATATTTGTTGCTGGTCATGTGGCTGACAAAGAGCCATCAGATACTGACTATGAAGAAGAGGAGGAAGAAGAAAACGATAGCGATGTCGTTCTTATCGAATAAAAACTTTAATTTTTTACTATATAATTTTTTAGTTCTCCTCTAGGTTTTTTAGGGGCTAGAAGGGGCGCAGCCCCTGGAAGCCCCACTACCTTTTTTTTTTTTTTTTTTTTTTTTTTTTTTTTTTTTTTTTTTTTTTTTTTACTCCTATTGTCTAATAACATGCTATTAATTTTCTTAAAATTAAAAAAAAAATATCAACTTTTAAAAACAGAAACTTAACATCCTTAGGTCAATGGATTTTGATGTGAGATACATTTAATCTGTTTTTCTTTTTTTATTTTAAATAATTGAATATTTATAGTTGTTATGGGTCTTACATCATGTAAAACGAATTTTCTTAAAGTAAATTTACTTTTTCTTCAATCTTTCTTACATATTTATTTAAAAAAAATTATCCAAAAAAGATGTTTTAGAATGAAAAAAAATAGAAAAATCTTCATTTATAGTCTTTCTTGAATGTATACGTTTTGATTTTTTTCTTTTTTAAAAAATTCAATTTCTAGAAAAATCGAGAAAAAATCATTTTCTTCTATTTTTTTAGGACGCCATACCCATTGAAATCTCCTCTCAGGACGCCATAAACTATTCAATTATGGTGTAAACTTCTCAAAAATTGAATAGTTTACATCAGGACGCCTTAGGACGCCAACCCTTTACGCGCCCTTAAAATTCGATTTTCAGCAAGCTAAATAAAGTTTAGTAAGAAAATAGATGCTACGAAAAATAAACAATACAATAATGCTAGATAGTTGATGAAATTATTCTTCAAACTCTTTAAATAAAAATCTCAAATTTATATTGAAACAATTTTTCTCTAAGAAACACTTCATTAAAAAAAAAAAAAAAAAGGTATTGGGGCTTCCAGGGCTGCGCCCCTCTAGCCCCTTGAAGATGTTTAGTATAACATGCAGTTTATATAAAATGAGGTTTTTTTGGGGGTAGCGGGCTTCCCAGGCACTTCGTGCCTTCTAGCCCTAAAAATTTTTGAAAGTCGTTGCTGTTGACTTTTCGGTAGAGGACTCAAAATAGTATAACTATGTCCGGACAAGTAAGGGTCTATCGTCGCTTCTCAAAGTTACGGGCGTTCAAAGAAATATACTTTGAGAAGCCTTTCTCCATTTTAAAACAAGATAGGACGGTTATTTTACAAAACCGACAAGACCTTAACCGAGTAGTTTTCATGTTTTGTCACTTTTCTGTCACTTTTCAGGGAAAAAACATTTTTATTAAATATAAAATGAATTTTACAAAACCACCGTTACCCTTCTTTGGAAATAAGAGTAGATATAAAGATATTCTATTGAGAGAACTTAAGAAACTACCGAATGGTCTAACATTTGTAGATTTGTTCAGTGGAAGTTTCTATATATCTCATTTGTGCCATACTGTATTTCCTGACTCAAAGATTATATGCAATGACTTCGACAACTATATGAACCGTCTCAAACATATACCAGACACAAACAAAATATTGAGTGAGTTGAAAGAAAAGATACCTATAGGCAAGATGGAACGTATACCATTAGATAAGAAAAATACTGTCAGAGAGGTTTTGAAAAAAGCAGAGTATATTGACTGGGATAGTATATCTGCTAGACTTTTATATAGTGGTTCTATAAGAGTTCATGACATTGAAACACTTATGTCAAACGTTTTATATCTTAACTATACAAAGGTTTTCAAAGAGAACATAGAAAAATATACTGAGGGTATAGATTTGTGAGATGTCGTTGGACAGAGTTGTATGAAAAATACAAAGACAAGGAAAATGTTTTCTTTATAGTGGACCCGCCGTTCTATAACACATATGATTTTCAATACCAAGTAGACTGGACTTTGAGAGACTCTTTAGAAACTTTAGACGTTTTACATAACCATCCATGCTTTTACTTTACATCCGATAAAAGTGGTTTGGAAACTGTTATGAGATGGTTAGAGGACATACATGACTATGATTTTAGATACGATAAGATAGAATATGAGAGAGGTCCTATAAACCGGAAAAAGTGTCATAACAAAGAAATTTTATTGGTAACTAAATGTGGTTTGAAATAGGACTACTTGTTTTAGGTTTTTTCCATTGTGTCATTTACTTATTTGACGTGGCAGAAAGATATAGAGAATATGAAGATGAACCAATACCAGCAAATGTTCAGCATATGTACTCGTAAGAGATATTTTATCTAATATTAAATGGACGCACAGAACTTAGCGAATGCACAGCAAACCTGACAACCAAACCAGAGAATATTCCAAATGAAGTTAGAATACAAACTGCAATGGCAAACTATGGTCAAGTGCCAACAGATGTACAAATGCAAACTGCCATGTCAAATGACGCTGCGTTAGGTTTGCCACCATGGTATGCAAATATGAGATGGAAAGAGTTTTATACAAACCCTGAAGTGGATATAAACAACTCTATGCAGATGACGCGAACACAGGAGTTGACCCAGAGTATGTTTTCTACCAGAGGAGAAATAGAATGTATGAGCTCCAGTTAAAAAATGCTATGGAACTCAACAGGAAACGTAAGAGACTAGGCGGACATTAGATTTTTACATATAGTAAAATGGGTTTCTTCAGTAAGATAGGAAACTTCTTTCGAAATGTTGGAAGAGGTATATGGAATGGAATAAAATCTGTCGGAAGAGGAATTTGGAACGGAGTCAAAAATATTGGCAAAAGAGTAGGTCAGTTCGTTGGTATTATACCTAAAGACCCTGAACCAGAAGAACAAGCTCCTGTTATACAACAGCCTGAACCTGCACCACAGTCTAGTTGGCAACCAAATCCAACACCTCAACCGTATTAAAATTATATTTTTACCGTTCGATAGTAGTTGTATATGAGACTAAGTTCTAAGTAAAACGCATGGTATAATGGAACTATTCTCTTTCTTCCATCTGTAGTAAACCATACTTGAAAGTCTGAAATACTTCCACTCGGTGGTTCATATAGCTTTGTAGGTTTTTCGTAAAAGTCATTTGCCAAGCATAAAAAAGAGTTTTGTGCACCAGAAAATGAAGCATGAACTATAATAGCATCTGAGTCGAAAACATTTTCATATGTTCCATTAGGGTTTTCGACTTCATAAAAAGTTCGGGTGTACTGGATATTCTGCAGGCTGATTTAACATCCTCAAAAATCTATACCATGCCAAGTTGTTATATTTTGTAGAAATATAAACGTCTTCTCCAAGGTCTTCTATTCTATTGATTTTAACAGTTGCATTTTTCCTGTCATATAAAATATCGAGATGGTACTCTCCTTCGTCAATGTTGTACTGTTTTGCATATTCGAGATAGATATCGTTTATTTTTTTCTTGAAAAGCTTGAAGAGTTGTTTCTAAGTTTACAAGCAAACTAACTTGTAAAAGTTTTCCCTGTTCAAATTTCTCATACGTACGTTTTCTTTGTTATAGTATCGAATTTCAAAAAGCGACCGTAAATGGGAAACCATGTATGGCTTCTGAAATGAACTTCATTCTACGAAAGCCAATAGCTTTTGTGACGGATGGGTCTCTTAACCATCTTAACGGGTAGTCAAACCGATAGCCTTCATGCTTTACGGTCTCTGTCTCAAACTTTTGACCGACATTCGTAAAAAGTTCATCTAATGGTTTAGTTGTAGCAACTCTTGAATTTTCTTTTTCTATGAAAGCATATTTTATCTAGAATAAAAATGTCGAAAGAAACAGCGTCTATGAGAGAAATACAACACAACCGACAACTCATTGTACAAGCTCTAAATAAGAACACAACAAACTTTTCAAACTATTCTAAGATATCTGAGTCATTGAAAGAAGGAAACTTAAAACTGACGATAAACCCATTGACAGACGAGTTTCTATTTCAAGACAACAAGAACCATACTGTTTGTATAAATCCAACAAAAAGAACTTTAAACGAGAAACCTATAGATGAACTTCTTTTGAAGGCAGATATTGACAACAAAGCTGACAAAGAGTATGTTGACGATGAGTTAGCATATGTGGCTAGTGCGTTAGTGAAGAAGGCAGATAAGGAATATGTGGATGAAAAAGACAATGAAATTATAGAAAGGGTTGAATGGTACCATGAACGGACAACAAAGATTTTTAAAAACTAAAGCCGATACAGGGTGGGTTTCAGGATGTTTAGACCTTAAAGCGGATAAGAACCATACACATACCATTGCAAATATTACAAACTTACAAGAAACCTTAAACAGGAAAAGTGACGTTGGACATACACATACCATTGCAAATATTACAAACTTACAAGAAACCTTAAACAGGAAAAGTGACGTTGGACATACACATACCTTCTTCTCAACTGTTGGTATAGAAAGTATTTTAGGAACGATTGAAGAAACTGGTGGGGGTGGATTATATTTTAAACCTCCTAACTTTCCACAAGGTTTAACATCGGATGAAGACATAACGACGATGAGATACATTAGATGTAGAAATGTCTATGTCATGGAGGATGAAAACAATGTTAAATTCACTGCTCAAGATTTATATGATAAAAAAGCTGACAAAACAGAGCTTCAAACGTTAAAGACAGAAATACTTCAAACACTATATCCTATAGGTTCTATTTACACGTCAATGAACTCTACCAGACCAGAAGTAGTACTTGGTCTCGGAACTTGGACTCAAATAGTCGACAGGTTTTTGTATTGTGCAACTCTTCAAAGGAAACAGGTGGAAGTAA